AAGTTCAAGCATTCTGTCCCGTTATTTCCCTGCCTGTCTGCGCCTCTGCTTGCCTGTTTCTCTTTGTGATGTGGCATTCATTGACAAAGCATTCTCACTACTACTGTGCATTCACTTCTCTGCAAGCAGTAACACACTCTCCTTAATATTTTTCACTTCTAGTTCATACATAGTCACATCCATCCATCCATCCATTCATCTTTCAACTGCTAATTCAGTATAGGGTCGTGGGGTGTTTCTGGATCCTGCAGGGTTCATTTCCAGCTATTTTCCTCCAGTCATTTCCCTTAAAGTCATTTCACTTACAGCGATTTCCCTTATAACCTTTTTCTTCCAGCTGTTTCACTTCCAGCTATTTCCCTTCTAACCATTTCATTTCCAACAATTTCATTTCCAGTCATTCCCCCTCTAATTGTTTCACTTCCGCTCATTTCCTTTACAGCCATTTCCATTCCAGCCACTTCCTTTCCAGCCATTTCCCTTACAGCAATTTCTCTTCCAGCCATTTTCATCCAGCCATTTTCTTTCAGCCCCCAGAAACAAATTTCTGGGGGGGAGTTGAAAGCTTACTACATGACTATGTGCACACTATGCATATGAAAAATTTAACTGAAGAGAACTCTTATAAAGGCCATAATAAATACCCCAGTACCAAAAGTTTTCATTTGTAAATTTCAGTCAAGAGCACGCTTTTGCTCTTTATATACTTGTTTAGATAAATCGTGGCACAAAACCTTAAAACCTTGGCACTATAATATTTTATTTTTGGCACTGTCTCTGATATGTACTTTTAGATGTTCAGGTGATGCCCCAAATAAATGGGAGCAAACCTTAAACAAACAAGAAGCGTCTAAAGTGTGTTGAAGCATGTCAGGGGTTGTGATTCCATTTCATGCATTTGAGACTATTGGCGTGTTATTAATTCAATCTTTATTAATCTGGAATGAAATTAAAATGTGAAGTGCCTTCAGATGGATTTGAGTACAGTGAAATACAGCTAGCGTCGTGAGCTAATGGCCTACGTTTTTGCTCTGAGGCAGTCGGTATTGTACTTTGCAAAATTCATTTTCTCTCAGCCTGAATACATTTTAAAAACATGAGTAGCTCTTCTCTTGTAGGGCAGCGTATCAGCTGGTTATGCCTTCAGGGGGGTTTGTGGGACTCTAGAGTAGTAAGATACTGATGAAATGATCTGAGGGCTGTGCTCTCAGTTATACAAACTGTAACGGCGCCCCTGTCGGGCCTGTAAAGGTGGTGCTGCAGTCGTCTCTGGCTCTCAGTAAAGCTCTTTGTCCTTCACTTTCAGGAGTCCTTTGGTTATTTAAAGAAGCATGTTTGCTTCATTTTGAATGAGATGGACGCCGGCACAGCTGCTCCTCCGGCCTTCATTTCCAAGCAGTGGAGGAATGCAGTGGGGTTTTAAACACACTGCACACTGTGCTACCCAGAGCGATGCACAGCCAGTGGCCGCTGTCTTAGGGACACCTAGCTAGTACTGGGTATGATCCCCGTTTCTCTTCAGAACCTCTGCTAAATTGTGTGTTTGGTGAAGCCCTTCTGCACGCCACTGCTTTACTGAGCTGTTATTTCCGTCCTCATGTCCTTCCTGTTCGCTTTAATGATTCTGCCCATTGTCCTCTGTCCTCTTTCATTTACAGTGTGTTTTTGGGCCCCACCAATGCCTTTGACTGGGTGTTTCTCTTCTTCAGACCATTCTCTGTAAACATGACATCCCAGGAAAACAGCTGTTTGTGGGATGCCAGAACCAGCATCTGGCACCAACAACCACACCAGAATTGCTTAGATCTCATGCTCTGGCGCGGGTCCTCCTGACTCTTTGTTCGCTCCTACAACAGTAAAAGTGAATCAGATTCTGCACATGAAGGTGAACACTGATGCTATTTAACATAAAGATTAATGAAATTGATCAAAAATGTATATTTCTAAGGAGTAGCAGCTGCCTTCCCCAACACACTCTGCTTTTCAAAAACCACCACTCTCCACTCCTCTCTGTCCATCACCCACCTCCCCTCTCCCCTTTCCTCTCCTCCCCTTCCCTCTCTGCTCCCCTCCTCTGTTCCTTTCCCTTCCCTCTCCTCTGTTCTCCTCCCCTCTCCACCCCATTCTCCTGTCTCCTCACCTCCTCCTCTACCCTTTTCTCTTCTGTTCTCCTCCCCTCCTCTCCCATCCTCTCTTTTTCTCCCTGCTCCTCTCTTCCTCTCCCATTCCCTCCCAAACAGTCCCCTCTTCTCCTCCCCCTTCTTTTTCCCTCCCTCACTTCTCCTCCCTGGTCCTCTCATCTCCTTTCTTTATCTCCCCCCTCCACTCTTCTCTTCACCTCCCCTGTCATCTCTTCGCCTTCCCTCTCGTCTCCTTTACTCCCCTCCCCTCCTCCATGGTTGGATACTACTCCTCTCATATTTCTCCTGGGAACCTTTTGACTTTTAGGCACTTGATCTGTCAGCCTTGATAAATTTGTATTGCAAAGTGGAGGCCAGTGTCCTTGATGTTCCTCCATGCAGCACCAGTGAAACACTGCATGAAAAGAGCTCCAATGGGTGTACTGCAAAACGAGTGTACAGCAAAACGGGTGTACTGCAAAACGAGTGCACTGCAAAACGAGTGCACTGCAAAATGGGTGTACTGCAAAACGGGTGTACTGCAAAACAAGTGTACTGCAAAACGGGTGTACTGCAAAACGAGTGTACTGCTAAACAAGAGTACTTCTTTCCTGCTCCTGGAACAGCTGACTATCAAATGGCATCTATTTCATCTGCCTTGAGAGTTCACCTCAGTCATCACTATGGTAGTCCACATCCCACCTCATGTGGACACTGGAACTCCTTGATGTGCTCAGTGCCACTCAAAACAAACACCCGGACACAGCACTCACTGTGGCAGTGGACTTTAATAAGGCAAACCTAAGGCAAGCTATGCTGAACCTTTATCAGCACGTCACACATCCAACCAGGGGATGCAACACACTGGATCACTGTTACACCCTGTACAAGCTGGGCTACAAAGCTGTTTTGCATTCAGTGTTTTGGAGATCAGACCACAATGCAACTTTCCTTATCCTGGTATATAAACAAAAGTCTGTTAGGGAAGCTCCAGTGATGAGGGAGGTGAAGCGCTGATCTGGCCAATCAGGAGCCACACTACAGGACGTAGACTGGGACATGTTCGAGTTTGCGTAAGTAACTGCTAGCTTTGTTAGCATGCTGGCTGACAAGGTTATCCCCACGTTTGCAATAAAAACTTTTGCCACTCAGAAACCATCCACAAGGCAGTGAACACCCGTGCCGTGGCTTATAGCGCAGGTCTCAGCACCGGTTTCATATGGAGTACAGCATGCTGTTAAAGATGCAAACCGTCAGTACCGGGAATCGCATTTCCCACAGAGTGGAAGTTAAGGAGGGTGCAGGAGGTACCCTAAGGACCACACAGAGACTCCCAAAGGCAGCAAGAATCCCCCGAAAGCCAACGGAGTCCAAGTCCTCCTGCAGAAGCGTCTCAAAATCCTCAGCCACCTTCAGCAGAAAAGCAAGGGGCATGGCAGGACCAGAACCTGCAGTTTAAGGAGGCTGCGACCATGACAACCAGCACGGAGTGGGGTCCGCCCCCCAAGTGGAAATGCCAGGATGACGAGGTGCAGACCACAGCTGATGTCTGCAGCAGGTCCACAGCCACAAGCTCGCTTCTCTTCCCGGCTTCTGTGTGTCAACACTCCTACTGACCGGAGTAAGAGGACATTGAAATCCTCACTGTCAGCCGTACTGCCTTTCCCGACACATTCTATTCTTCTAAGCCTGCCACTCTCCGCTCCTCTCTGCCCCTCACCCACCCCTCCTCTCCCCTCTCAGCTCCTCCCCTTTCCTCTCCTCCCCTGCCCTCTCTGTTCCCCTCCTCTCTTCTCCTCCCCTCTCCTCTGTTCTCCCCACACGTCGTGAGTGACATCTACTGTGAGTGAAAATGCATGCCGTGGATGAAAACAGACCTCATGACAGCATGTCTATGGAAACGCACACGCTGTCATACTTCGCCTGGCCTGCTGTCCCCGCATGCCTCTCAAGCACAAAATAGGGTACGTGTTCCAGAAGGTTCCAGAGAGACATCAGCCCCATCCTTGAGGAGAAACGGCATGCAGCAGAGCCCCCAACAGCAAGTTATCCATGTTCAACCAAGATATTTGGCGATCATAGTGAGCTTAGCTTTTGATGCTGGAAACAGAGAAATGCTCCCCAGTGTGAAGTCAGCACGTTCATGGTCATTACTGATGCTTGGCTTTGCTCAGGAGACAGTTCAGTTAATAATTAAGAGGAGCACAATTAGGACAGTCAGATGTTGGACAGGCTGCTTGAGAGCTCTCTGTAGCCTGCGTCACCCTGATTACAAATGGCCTAATATTCTCCAGCTCTCTGCAAGAGTCATTCAGCTTTGTCACTAATCACAGTTTGCACTCATTGCCAGGACACTGTCACCTCACAACAATCATGGGGTGCTTCCATGTTATAAACGGCTTCACCTGCACGTTTGTCATACAGTACATTTCAGTAGCCTCTCATGTGCCCAGTAAACACAGAACTTTTTACACTGCAGTCCTGGAGACCATTTATTGTCATGCTTAAATGACAAATTGATTGGGGTGGCATTTGGCTTGGTGGATAAGCACCGGAAAGTTGCTGGTTCTAATCCCAGAGACAGCAGAGTGGTGTCACCACTGGGTCCCTGAGAAAGACCCTAAACCTACAATTGCTCTGTCCCCGCTTTCTCAAATATGTATGCTGCTTTATATAAAATTGCCTGCTGAATAAATGTATATGATTAACAAGCAGAAAATGGGTTGGTTAGGTACAGTTACATAGGCATCCCGCCTGCGATTCCCTGAGCACCACAGTGATCCCACACATTCTCTCTTCTCCGTGTCTTTTAGCAGACCTGACTGGTGTAACGCTGGGTCTCCGGCTGTGTTCCTGGGGCCTAGAGACCCCTTTACTCACCCCCTGGAATGAGGCCATCTTCCTCATCCTGGCCCTGGCTCTGAACGTCCTCTTCCTCAGAGGGAAGCTGCTGAGATCATTGTGTGGACTGATGCGTGTGTGGACCATCTGTGCACCAGCATCAACCAGGAAGCGGGCCCGCTCCCTCCACCATCCCCCGCTTCCTCGTCCTCTCTGCCGCCCCCCCCTCTGCTTTCACCTTCTCCTCATCCAGGCAATACCGGCCTTGGCGTGCGCCATGTGTCCCAGCCAGACTATTTCCGCTCCTGGGGGCGAGTGTCATTTGCCCAGGGGGCAGTGTGACAGGGGTCACAGGGACCCTCCTTTTGAGGCCGAGCGGACGGCACCAGTGCAGCGCTGATCCTGCAGTCTGCATGTAGATGTTCTGACTGATCTAGTCACATGACCACGCCGAGTGTCTTTTTTCAGAAAGGCGAATGTATTTTTAATATCTATACAGAGAGAGTCACGCATTGAGCTGCATGGGAGAAGCCAGCTTGGCTGGATTGTGTCTTTTTTCCATCTTACTGCCTTTTCACATAAAAAAATCAAGGAGGGCATAAAATTACCACTGCATTTATTAGGGTCACTGACAGTACATGGAATATTGTTCTTGCGAAAGTTTAACAATAAGCCAGCATTCTGATTGTCACTAGTGGAAGCACTACAGACCAGAGCTTATCACTGCAGAAAAACATTTTAAGGCTATAACTTTCTTGTGTACGAACAAATGATTACTTGTGTTCCGCATTATTCCAGAAACTAAAGACCTTCTTTCAAGTATATACTTTAAACTACAGTCAAAAAATACAGGAACCATGTCAGACAGCTTTCAGTGTAGGTGCCTAGAGCCTGGATGTCAGAGATGCACACAAATCCACCAAATATCAAATATAAACCATTCATGAAAACTGTATGCAGAAAAGGGATGTTTAATTGTCATGAACGTAGACAGTAACCAGACAGTGACAAGAAATCAGCACTAATGTAACGGCTCAGTTCAGCTAACCTGTGGGAACAACACTGTAAACGGGTGGTAAATAAACGTGAACTCTGACGGAGGGTTTAGCAGGAAGCGAAGCCCCCGGCATCAATGCTGCATGGAGTCCAGCTGCCCGCGTTTTCAGAAGATCTGAGGGCACTGCCAACAGTGTGTGGTACTGCCCTGGCCAAGGAACATGGAAGCACATATGCACGCGCACGCGCACGTGCACACGCACGCACAAGCATGCAGAACACTCGTCTTATTGCAGTTTAAATACTGTTTAAACTCTTGCATATCGTAAACTGACCACAACACAGATTTTAACCCACGGCGGTTTCATTTTCTAGCCTCGACTGACGATGTGGTTTTGGTGGGGGGCTGCTGAGGTGTGTGATTCGTCCATAGCGGGGGAGTGAAGTGGGCAGGGCCTTCACCTGTGACACAGTAAGGAGGCGGGGCAGCCACGAGGCCGGCCTTCAGTCCAGAGCCGCCGAAGAGCGCGGGCGACCACAGCAGGCAGGGCGGCGGACACTTTCCAGCATGACCCGGAAGACATTGCGTGACTTCCTCCCGCCCCTCTTGCCCTGCGAGCTCTCCGAGCAGATGGACTTCCGGATCGCCCTCACCTTCCTCTCCTGCTCCCTGATCTTGGACTGCAGGTGGCTCTGAATGGCGAATCCCAGGGACTCCGGGTCCAGAGAGGCCCCGTACACCTCCCACGTCATGCCCTGCTCGTCCCACACCACATCCTGCACGGGCTCACACTCGCTCTGCTTCCGAGCTGAGCTCCCCTGTTCCCCCTGCTCCTCCTCCTCCTCCTCCAGACTCCTGGGGGGGTGGTTTAACGCTCCCGGCTTGCTCAGTGCTGTCTCCTGGTCGTGGTCCAGCCCGAAAGCCCTGTCATGGGGATCTGCCCCATGCTCTGTATTCTTAGTGTTTTTTGACACCACGGTCTGGTCATTTTCCAGAACAAATTGTAATTTTGTTTTTTTTGACCCGCTTCCTTCCTTCCTGTCTCGCGGGACAGGTGGCTCCTGGGGTGGTAAACACACAGGAGCAGAACCTCCTCGTAAATTCGCCACGTGGTTCCCGTTGCTGTGCTCTGACGTGGGCTGACGAGGTGGTGGAGTCGTTGGCGGTGAGTCCTTCCCACAGACCCCGATTTCAGGAACCCTGTTAGGCTGTATATTTATCTGATAGACTGGCTGTAAAGGTGCAAAGCCAGAGCGGAGGGGCGGCCTTCCTGTGTCTGTTCCCGACTCCATTCCACAGTTCGGTCCGGAAGTTGCTGTATAGAACGTGCTGACCTGCGCGCTCTGGCTCTGCCCTGGCTCCAGTCGCACCTTCTCCAGCATCTGGTTTATTCTCTGGTGGTCAGGAAGATGTGTAGGGTCAACGTGAACCTGACACCGGGCAAACATCTGGGGGTCCGTCGCACTGACGCGTCCACTCCTGCTGGAAAGATCTTCACCGCACGCTGCCTGGAACGTCCCACAGTTCAGTGGACTGAGGACAGCGAGGATCTCCGCGTCCTCTTCCTCCAGTCGACAGGAGTGTTGACACACAGGAGCCGGGAAGAGAAGCGGGCTTGTGGCTGTGGACCTGCTGCAGACATCAGCTGTGGTCTGCACCTCTGCGTCCTGGCATTTGCTCTTGGGGGGCGGACCCCACTCTGTGTTGGTTGTCATGGTTGCGGCGTCCTTAAACTGCAGGTTCTGGTCTTGCAATGCCCCTTGCTTTTTTGCTGAGGGAGGCTGAGGATTTTGAGACGCTTCTGCAGGAGGATTCGGACTCTGTTGGCTTTCATGTGTGGTGCCCCTCCTGTGTGACTCATGTGAGGGACTCTTGCTGTCTTTGGGAGTCTCTGTGTGGTCCTCAGGTGAAGGCATTACCTCAGTGCTGGTGCTGGCTTGCTCCATTTGGAGTGGCCAGTTTCCTCTGCCTCCCGTCGCTCCTGTCCTCTCTCCACCCTGCTCTATCCTTGATCTCCATCCTTCACGCTGATGTTCTCCTGAGGAGCTTTCAGCTGCCTCCCTTGTTCGGCTCTCTGTGCAGATCTGTGCTTGATGTGCGTTCTGAACAGGCTCAGTCGGGCCATCGCTGCTCGCAGGATCAGCCTGGCCTGGCCTGCCGCCAGCAGCCTCAGCTCTCTTACCTTGGGTCGTCTTTGATTTAGAGGCCAATTGCGTCAGTTTGGGTTCCATTTCTGGCAGCCGGACCGGGACCACCATGTCCTTGTGTGGGAGTTGACCCAGGGAAGTATCAGTCTCTGGCTTCGCTGTTTGTGACTTCATGAGCACCTTCTCAAAGGGCTGCTCCTTCCCACTGCCACTGGGATTCCATGCAGCCTTTGACAGTATAACCAGTGGCATGACCTCTCGTCCTGTAAACACGGAAGAGTCGCCCTCGTCCACGCAGCCCCGTGGACCTGCACCCTCGACGCTCTCGCCCTGATAGCTCCCATCTCCCTTCACCTTCCCCTGTCCTGCCTTGATGCCGTCTCTGTGCTCTGTTTCATTAGCCAAAGATGCTACGTGGGACCCGTTCCATGCCACCCCCACACAGTGGCCACTGTCGGACTGTGACGTCAGTATCCTCCTCGCCTCCTGCTCCTCCTCCCGGTGGCTCCTAGACTCTGCGCTGCTTGGGGAGCTTAAAGCAGAAAGCTGGCCATCCATCTGAATATGCAGGTTGCTCTTTGCCTCAGATACAGCATCCATTTTGCACTCCGGTGAAAAGAGGGAAGAGACGGGCACGCAGCCGGCGCAGACGGGCACGCAGCCGGCGCAGACGGGCACGCAGCCGGCTGGCCTCAGATCACCATCCACAGTCAGAGGGGGTTTCCTGAGGCAGGAATAACAGCACCATCAGCTCTGAAGGAAATAAAGAGGCACAGTAGTGTGTTACAGACACACAGAGCATTTCCCTTAGGTGATACAATGGATACTCACACAAATCATACTGCTCATAATGCACCTTTTAAAAGAAGAACATAACAGCCAATCTAAAATATGTCAGTGTCAGAGTGAAAATGCGTTTCTGAAGTGAGAGCACAACGAAATTGGGTTTATGAGTTGATGTAACTATTGCTTTTGTCTTACGAAACATTCACACTGTCTGCATACTTTGGAGGCAGGACAAGCCGAACTAGCTTTGGTTCTGCTAAAACACCGGGATCTAAGCCGTAATTGCTGGCTTGGGAGTCCAGGATACCTTCTGGGTGAAACTCCAGGCACAAACCTTAATCAGCACACATTCAGGTGTTTCATCGCTGAATATTTTCGCAGCGTAGGTTTCCTCATCAGAAGTTTACTGACCCTCAAGGATGTTACCCTGAGGCAAGTGGGACCTCAGCACCTTGTTTACGTGCAGCTGACTCAGCAAACGGCATTTTAATGGCACCAGATTCGGCCTTAAACGGAAGCGGCAGCTTTCACCCTGGGATTACTGGCTCCTCCTTGACCCACTTAAATCTGAATAAATTATATTTAAAAAATAGGCCTAGCAGAACATTTACTGAACATCAGTGAGAAAAGCTGGTTCACGTTGCATTCTAAGTAAGACACAAATATTTTTTATGTAGGAATTTTTATGTAGGAATTCCATGCAGGGTTCATGGTGCCTTAAATAAGACATTAACTTTTAATATAATGGTGTAGTTGGCGGCTGATGACTGGGCCGACCCAGGTCTCTGTCCAGAAGCTTGGCAGCTAAGGGTCTTCATGCTTTTCCAGTGAAGGTCTCCAACTCACATGCCCACAGAAAACACTTCTGGATGTATGAATGGGGGCCATTTTGTAATAACTGAACAAACGCAGAAACATATTCATAAACCATACTGTCTGAGCACAGAGCTGAAAGAATCCCTGCAGACTCTTATCACCTTGTTCGCTAAATGTCTCCGCTTCTTCTTCTTTAATTTATCCAGTTCTTGGGGATGATAATAACATCAGACTCAGTGCTCCCTCTCTAACATGCCACAGTGAACCGCCATTATCTTAAAGGTGCTGACAGATGTATCACTCTCCAAAGTTAACTTGTATTTACTATAACGTGATAATTTTATAGCAGATGCACTAATTGAGTACAAAATTACCTGAATGTTCAAGGGGTCATTCCTACAAGTACAAGCATCCAAACGCGATAATACTGTCTCGGTCATTCATTTACGCACGTTTCGTGTTCCTCAGTCCTCACATGGTTTTCAAAGCAAAGTCCGCTCTGTGGTAATACGTACTTAAGCTTTGAGACTTGCACTTTGAGATAAAAAAAAACACATATTTAAAAAACGGTACATGTCAAAAGCATACAGATTACGGTCAAACGGCCACAAACGTGTTTCCCAAAGTAAAATTGTTTCTATGGATCTAAACCATCTTTTCACACTAAAGCTAAACACAATGTATACACTCTTGCATGATTTAGCAGGAATATTGATTAATACGTTTAATTTTGCCGCATCTTAATATCTTTATTACATATTGAAGAAATTCACCATGAATTTAATCCACTGAATTAATGTAATTTTGGATTACAGGAAATATAACATAAAAATATTGTGCAATTCAGAAAATGTTTATACAAATATATTATATCTTAATTTCATTATAAAGCTTATGTCATCAAAATGAAGCCTTCAGGAATAACCCTCCGATTTGTTAACCACTCATCAAAATAACACTTTTATGTTACCTGCAGTCGGTGCGATGCGCATATATTCAAATAAATGTCAACGCCAAATTCAGCAGCACCTTTTCACGGGAAATGGGCTGCGTATTCAAGAACCCAAAAATAATGAATACAGACTATCCGATCGTGATGAACTGAAAGGTAACGTTTGACCTTGCGTAGGAATCAGTGACCATTATTCCGTTATATATAAATAGATGGATAGGAAAAAGCATACCTTTAACCTTCATCTCCAGTCGTCCAACGTTTGCTCGTTCGGGTGGAGGCTGGATGGAGATCCGTACAAACGCGTGAAGTGGGACCACGCCTTCGGATCAAGCTCCTCAAAGAGGGCAGATGCTCATTATCTCACCGATCGGAGCTGCGATCCCTCCTGAAACGCAAAGCCGGCACCTGGCGTATTTAACACGTTTCCCATAAATCTCAGCTTCAGCTTCATCGTGCAAACATTGCTGGGTCGCTGCTCTTCAGTGCTCGCCTTCGCCGATACCTATGGGACTTTCCTCTTTCCGTTACGATGACTACGTCTTATCGGAGCGGAATAAATAAATATACCGCAAGCTTTAAGGTTGCGGTAGATTTTCAGGTTTTCTGTTATATTAATAATTCATAAACACAACGTCTCCGCATTTTTACGGCAGTTGACCTTGCTGTTTGTTATTTATTACATATAATGACGCATGTTGATGCTTTTAGTTCTCTGTGATACTGGAGTAATGCCTATCTTGGTCTTATATTAATGTCCCTGGATATACAGCTTACTGAACCTTTACGCATTCATCTCGCGTTCACGATAACGAACTTGGGAGCACATATACCACTCTGATTTTGGATTTAAAAAAGATAATAAAACATAATGTATCTGTTTTGTGTACTTTAACGCTTTAGGTAGGCTATTATATTTAAGCGGATAGCATGAAATACATAGGCCTATTTATATGAATTAATAATATATAAAAACCGTATTTTGTTTAAAAATGTAATATAAACATCAGTTGCATGTGGATTCTTGGCACGGAACATTGTCTACCCCTAGAGGACATGTTCACAAATACAGTGTGTGTATTTGTGTGTGTGTATTTAACGCAGAAGTAGATCTATACATATCAAAAATCAAATAGGTCTATACAGATCAAAAACATCTCAACGCTTTACCTTGTGCTGGATGATTTGCTGAAATTGTAGTCATGTTTTCTGCTGCAACTGCATGAAGCAAACTTCACTCACAGGGGAGATGTGTTCTGAGTGGCAATGTGTGTGCGACGATTTTAATTGACTAGGTTATTTATTTTTTGGCGTACTGTTTGTGCATGACTGATTTCATTTGAATAATAAACGTAGCTCTTATTTTGCATAACATAAAACCAAAATCTAATTTAACACGTAGGGGCCAAGTTGTGCTCTTTGTGAATCTTTATCGCCTATCACTGTGCCCCCTGCTGGCCCCGGTGAGGCCCTCTTCTCAGGGAGCAGCGTCTTCCCAGTGCATGCTGGGTACATAACCTCTGTGAGTATGACCTGACTGCCTGATAGAACAGCCTATCACTGTGCCCCCTGCTGGCCACGGTGAGGCCCTCTCCTCAGGGAGCAGCGTCTTCCCGGTGCATGCTGGGTACATAACCTCTGTGAGTATGACCTGGCTGCCTGATAGAACACGAATTCTCTGCATCATGTGTGTGACCCTCGCATCATTTTCGCCCTTGAATGTGTGTTTATACAGTGATATATGAGTACATACATAGGCTCAGTGCAGTAGCATCCTCCCTGCCCCCACTGCACAGGCTCCGCCCCCATCCTCGATCTGCCACAGAGGTGAGGTCCTCTTCCCACAGCGAGTCAACAGTGTTACCATGACTAAATGTGAAGAGGAACAGCAGCATTCAGACACCTCAAACACAGATGTGTGTGATGATGTGCCGTGTTCGGGTGTGGTTGGGAGCTGGGAATGTTTTAAGTAACATGCATTTCTAAACCACAGTGTGACTGTTGCTTAAATGCACTAGCAAGTGGACAAATAACCAGAGAAACAAAACACCCCCAAGATGATGACCTGCTGCACTGAGTGCAGGAATCCTATTCTTCTTAATCAAGCCCATGTAGGGGGAGATGTCAGGGATGGAGGGAGGCAGTCCAGACTTCAGCATGAATCCATGGTGCAGAACCCTGCCCAAAGGCAGACAGAGTGACAGGCCAGGGTGTCTCTGGTGCAGTAGGAACAAGGCAAGGTGCCGGGTTTGAGGTGGGAACAAATGCAGCTACGATGCAGTGTTTCCTGCAACGGAAGTGCTTAATAGAGCGTTTGAAAGTGAACCAGGAGTCGCAGGGAGTCGCTGAAGATTAATTTGAAAAGTCACCTGACGTGGGCCTTCGGTTTAAAATGGCCTCCTGGATGAGGTCATAGGTCATAGGTCACAAGCTCTTTACAGATAAGCAGGGTGTTTTTGCTAAGGTGTGACAGCGCGCCTCGAGGACAGAGCTGGGCAGTCAGCATACTACCGTCATACAATTATGACATCACAATACATTTCTAGTGCCATTTTCCTAAAAACAAAATAGGCAGCAACAAGTCATCATATTTATCGTGAAATATTTTTCTTTCTTCTTAATTGTATTTATTTGTGTAAATATATATAAAATAGGTACATTTAAGAATAAGAATTTAAGAATGTCTTTTTATTACAATATGAAACACTGTAATACCTCCACTAGCCTGACACTGATCCGCGTTTCCTGAACACTCTTAATGTTGCACTTTCTGCTGATTGAATAGTTATCTTATTAGGTTCTTGCCTTGTTGATAGATGCTGTGAAGCTCCTGCCCCGATCCTGCTTACACCTGTAGCTGGTCCTTCACTGGAAGCTCAGCCGAGCTGCACTTATGCCGAGTCGAACCCTCGACAGCCATATGTCTGTGATGTGCTATTTGCCCCACTCGAACATCCCGTTAGACAAAAGTACCTGCTACATAAAAATGAATGTGAATGTGAAGTAGATGTTTGGGAGTGTCTGAGAAGATCAGTTGCTTTGTTGGTCTTTGAGGCGATCCCCGAGGCAGCTCGTTAACCCGTTGCTTGTTATGTAGCCGGATACCGGGACGCCACCTGATTTACGGTCTCCGCCCCTCCGTGTGGAAATGATGTTGTCATAGAGGCTGATCCAGATGGAGGCTAAAGGCCAGCTGCCTCTCGAGCCCGGCAACCGGCCCGCTGTACAGGGACTTCACACCTTCCATCTGCACCATGGTGCTGACTGTCCCAAACAGGCCCCTGTGTTTGACGTCCCTGACCCGCTCTGTAGCTGCTGCCTCCCCCTGGATCCGACATATGGAAACAGTTTTAGGTGACAGGCGTGGTGTGGAGGTCCCAGCCCAGCCTGCTGGAGCTGCGTCTGCAGCAGGGGCTCCACAGGAGTTATCCCGGACAGAAATTAGCTCATTGCTTCTTTTATTGCCTGATTTCATGAGCTTTGTCCAGTTTTGAGTGGTTTGGATGCTAATGCCTCCATCTGTCTGTTTTCCATAACTGTTCATCCAACACATGCTCACAGTGAATTTGGATTGCGTCCCAGGAAACACCGGGCAGAGCCATTTAGCACAGACACAGTCACAGGCACAGTCACAAACACAGTCATAGACACAAACACAAACACAGTCACAAACACAGTCACAGTCACAGGCACAGACGCGGTCATGACATGACAGGAAATGTGGAGAAAGCACAAACTCCATCACTGGTTTCATTGCACCTAAGCAGCTCAGATGATGTCAGCACGCCAGAGATAGGGGCTATCCCTTCAAAGGCAAAGGAATTTCAGGTAAATGAATTTCAGAACCTAATGTTTGAGGCCCTCAGGGAGAATAAAGCAGGGTATTCCACATGATTTTCCTTTTAAATGTGGTTTTCTGCCAGATTTGGTACAATCATAGTTTATGGCTCAACTTTTAGTAACAAGTGGGCATATTCTTAATGCATATTCAAAGTTTTGACACATAATGGTAGCTAGGATTAATCTGGCATGGCTGTGATAAAGATGCCTGTCTGGGTTTATGGGGGGGTATTCAGAGAGTCGCTTATGACAGCAGCACACTTCTATCAGTCTGTGCAGCCTCACTCTATCGGACCCGCTGATATGCTTTCTGTCAAACCAAGGCAAATACCTGGCAGACTGAACATTCTTAGCTTAATCATTATTCTGCCCAACGGGGGTGGATTTCTGCGAACATCTCAGACGAAAAGCTAGCACTGACACTCGTGAGGAAGATGATGAGCAGCGGCGGTTCGAGCTGAGCTTATCTCACAGCGCGGTCAGCAACTGCTGCTTCTACAGTCTCCGGGTCACATCATGCTGCAGAGCTCACTGACCACTGTGAATCAGTCTGCCTGTTTCAGTCAAAATGTCATCTATGTACAATAATGAGAATAAATATTTCTGCATTCTTACTCATTTGATTAAGAATAACTTAAAGTGCACACTACCAGTTAATTTCTGCACTTTCTGTATACTAGATACAGAGTAAAACATGGCTTCTGATGCAGTCCCTTTCAGAATTTGTAGTTCATTTCCAGGAAAATTCATGATGCAGGTGCTGCCCCCCTGTGGCCGTGCAGTGCATGAACACAGACCGGACAAGTACTGCGTGAACAGAATAGCACTCCCCAGTAGTTTGCCGCACCTGCCCATGGTTAGTGCTGTGTGTGAAGTGATCTGGCTGCCAAACCCTCTCTCCTCTCCCCCTGAAGGTAGCTAACGCGCTGGCCAGCTTCATGACAAGACACAAGACTTTCTGCACACAGAAAGTGCACAAGACCCCTGAAATGCAGGCTCTTTTAGTGATTGTAATGCAAGGCACCACATAGTGGTTTTCTGTCGGTCACTGTCCTGTTAGACAGAACCTGCTGCGATCCAGCCCCATGGACACGTCCGCAAGTGTGATTTCGCCCCAGAGTGCAATCAGCAGTTGTTGTCTCTGTCTCTCTTCCTTTCTAGCTCCTCCTATCCTTTCATGTGATGAAAAGCAACTAAGGAGTCTTCTTCTGTCTCTATGGTATTTAAAATCCAAAGGGACTAAGAGAGCAAGAGGCCTCTCTGTTCATGTATATGAACAGCAGAATGGAGCACAGTCCCTGTTCACCCGGCCGCCTCTGCCCACCTCGGACGTGCTCACACCAGAAGTGTCCCGTTCTCCTTGTAAAAGGAGGATTTCTCAGTCTGTCTGGATGTTGGATGAAACCTGTCCCAGCCTTTGTGGTATTAACATTGCTGATGAGGAGGATGTGATCTATTAAACTGTAACAAACTCCACAGAAACAGGGTGTGAGACTTGCTTTTGATATTTAATTATGAATTGTAAAATCCATAATTAACCTTTCCTTAATTAAATATTGTGAAACAATATACATAGAAGTGCCGACATTGGAAAATTGAAAAGCACCTTTAATACAATAAAGTTGGTTTTTTAAAAAAGACAACTGATTATTTATATTACAGGAAGGAATTATAAATAAAATTGTGATAAGAGAGAAAAAAAAATGCTGATTATACTAACTACTACAAAAAACTTCATCATTAAAGTGCATGTGCACAACCTTAGTGATAGCAGACAGACAGTGAGATCAGTGTAAACAACATGGGTAAGTGATATTAACAACAACACTGAACATGGGAGGAAGATACAAGATGTAAAAGAGGCAATTGATGACGGTATTTATTGCATATGATGATCATAAGTCATTATTAATAAGTTAAAATACCCAAAATACACATTAAGTATAATTTGCTTTATATGGTTTGAAATACTTATAATTCTTGCTTATATTACCCACAAATCCATTTCCATGACACGTGTTTTTGATTTTAGATACATACAAATTCTTCTGCTATTTTACAGCTGTGTGGATGTCAGTCCTTCATTTTACACCCCAGACATACTGAAGTACAGGAAGGGAACAGGCGAGTTCTTCGTGCACCCAAGCAGAGCTCTGGTCAGCAAATACACCACAACGTGGCTTATTGTCCAAATTGCTCCTATCTCAGCTGCTGGATGGAGACTAACACGGCAGCCCCTTGTGTCTGAGTGAGGCCTCTATCCAGAGAGAAGAGAAAGCTCGTGGTCACAGGAAGAAGCAAAGCTGCCCACTTTGCACATATTCTTGGCATTGGAGATGCGAGCCATGAGGTCCATAGGCTTCTCGAAGTATAACACCAGGGCCGGCTGGTTGAGCACGGAGGCCAGCAGCTGATCGAAGCTGATGGCCCAGTCCCGGTCCGGGAAGGTGGGCTGGGGCAGGCTGTCTCCGAGGTGGCCTTTGCGCACCAGCACTGTGTCATCAGCAATGTCCTCGCAGCGAAGCTTGGGCTCCATCTCCTGGGAGCCAGAGCTCAGCACTGAGTAGGAGGACACAGAGGCGTCATCTTTGGCCTCGTCGTCAGAGACCAGCGTGACCGAGGACAGCCCTACCCCCTTTGGGGACGAGTCATCTAGCCCCACCTCCTCTAGTGGGTTCCCAAACTCCAGCTCCTGGAGACAGTGCCTCTCCTGGCTGGGCTGCTGAAACAGGACATCCTGCCTCACTGGGCCACTTCTCCAGCGGTGGGGCTGCAGAACTGCTTGCTCACCTCGCCAATTTCCAAGAGCAAGCTGGTAACAGTGGCGGTTGCATGGTACAGATCCTGCTCAGCTGGGTCCTCACTGAACATGCTGTAAAGGGTCTTGCAGAGCTCAATGAACTGGCCCTGAGCAGAACACAACACAGAAGACCAAGCTACCATGATGTTGGGCAAATTCAAAAACAACTGAAGATCGGTTATCAATGACTCACCTAGAAACTCACAGGATTAGGGATAGAGTTATTTAGGGATATTTAGGGATATAATTATTTTGCTGGTAAATTAATGTACCCATCACTAAGAATTGCACTTGTCTAAAAACATGGTTTACATGGTTGTTCAGTTAGTGACATAAACTAGTGATGTTGACATTCACTGCCAACCGACTTAGTGCCAGATGTAACTGAAAGAGCCTCAGGATGAACCTGGTTCAGTTTTGGCAGCTCCTTCGCGTCATCCAAATTGGACTTGGTATCTGGATTCCACAGCCTTAAGAAGTTCTGACACTCAACAACATGCAGCTTCTTCACTGAGAAGGAAAGAGAGGCACAAATCACCACAGATACAAACATCTGCTTTGCCAAAAGATCACCTTCCAGTTCCTCAAAATATCTACCTTTTTCATTCTTGAAGGTAACTCTGACAAAACCATCATCCTTATCTTTATTTGGCCTAGAATCAGGGCCTGAAGAGACAGACAGAATTCAATTTAAATGTAAACACAAAAACACATGACTTTCAGTGTTCCAATCTATAATTGGGAAACCTACCATGAGAGGTCTCAGGGTTAAGATCTTCAAAGAAATACTGGGTGGCCTCAAAAGCAGAGTCTGGTTCTTCTGATTTGTTGGTCACCTCTGAAGTTAGCAGGACAAGGAATCACGCAGATAGTCAGGTGACGCTACTCTGGATTTTTCCATAGATTGATCTGGAATTTGGGTCTGGGAAAACTTACCAGGCAAAGCGTGCAGCTTATAGAGGAGCTTCAACTTCTCGGTCAGATCCCCATGACAAAGTAGACCTACAGACACACAGCCATATAGGACCACGCTCATCTTGTCTATAAATACATTTCCTGTACCACTTCCACAGTGAACTAGAGGCTATGACTGGTTTCCATGACCGCTAGGTGTAATGCCAAGGGAGAACAGCACCAACCATTGGGAGCCTTAATGGCTAATGAATGGGTGAATGTGGTTTTGGCATGCTTGTGCAAGCAGTGATGTCATAGGACGTACTGAGTCCAGTGGCAAACTCCCGGAAGTTGATGAGAGAGTCAGCATTACAGTCGAGGAGCCTGAAGAAGCGAACAGCCAGGGCATCAGAGTGGACACCGCCGGCCCAGGGGAAGAGTACATTGAAGAGGCCTGTGAACTGCTCCAGGTCAATGCGGTACTGGTCCAGGTAGGGCAGGCTGGGGTCATGCCTGTCTGCTGGGCTGCTAGTTCCACCCCAGTAGCAGGTGGCCAGGTACTCTGCCTGCAAGACAATGGTAGCAGTGTCCCTTACAAGAGCAGCCACCAGGACCAGCTGTGGTTGTAGAGTTTTAAACATGTGTACATTAAGCAGGATCCCACACTTCCTGAAACTCCACACTCAACGTCTTTATCATAGCACATCAGAATCTGCAAAGACACATGCTTCAAGTGACTTTCAGTTGACAGTGCCATTTGTGGAAAATGTTTACAATATATACCTCATTACACATAGGATTACTCAGGAAAATGTTAGCATACAATGCTGCAACTTGGACGACCGGAATCGAGTAAGTTCTCCTGATTGCAAAGATACGCGATTTTTGTTTGTGAGTTATACCTATCGAAGTTACGAGCCTGAGATCAATGGGTGCGAAAATCAATGCATTTGTGTTTGTTGACTTCTCATGGTTAACAAACAGATGAATATTAAGCCATTGTGATAAATATTGAGGTGTTACGATGAGTGGTTCTGACTGGTCTCAAAAGAAAAACTCAAGTCCACTATGTCTGAGACTAAGACAAGGCCGAGAAAAAGAATTCTATTCTGGGACGAGAACAAGACCGGAAAAAAGTGGTCTCGAGACCGGTCTTGTCAGGATTTACTGGCACCTTTCGGGAAACATTTCATTCCTATAATGTTAATCATTGCAACTAACAAAAGCCAAAAGCTGCTCCTGAAAATGGCTCACCAACATAGCTCTGTCCTTCAAACCAAAGCCAGAGAATTTTAGCATAGTGCTTTTCTTCCCTAGTGAAACTAGTAGGCTTTGAGAGCATTTATGGAGCTCTTTGATTCCACCTCAAGGTCTTCTTCACTGACTAGGCCCCACATGTTTAGCTCAAGCTAATGACCCCTATGACCACTCACCTTAAAGAGGACATACAGCTCCTCCAGCTCAACAGCGCTGAAGGCCATTTCCGTCAGTATTGTTCGGATCTGGAGGACAAATAGCAACAGTAACGAGTGATACTCTACCACATTGCAATTAGCATGGTGTGAGCATGCTTGAGACTCTGTGGTCAACCGATAATCAAGCACTTTGCCACTAGCATGGTGTGAGCATGCTCAAGACTCTGTGGTCAAGCTATACTCTACCACATTGCGATTACTGTAGTCTCAGTGTGCTTGTGACTCTGCAGTCAAGCTATACTCTACCACATTGCGCTTTGTTGTGTCCTCAATGGTCTGAATCACCCTCAACCGCTGTTTGAAGCGCATCTGTTCAATGGCATCAGCCCGGATGGTGCCGAATTTCTGTCAAAATGTCAAGGCAAAAAGAAAGGTCCACAAATAAACACCAGGCTTCCTGGGATAACAATATCTAATTTCTAGTACTTCACACCAAGCCTAACACCAAGGCCTAAAACTATCACTGTATTTCAATGCTGATATCAAGCATTTGCATTGGAAATGCATCAAAGACTAATTTCTATTTTGGAAGCTTTTGGGACTCTGTATTGTTCCAATTTCACAGCAATCCTACAACCATCTGTGCATTAATTTCCTCCTTTTGATCCTACAACTGTATAACTGTAAAGAGCAAAAGGTAACTAGTGGTGTATGGCACCTCATATGAGCTGTGCACCAGCCTGAAGATGTCCACCTCTGGGTGAGGGTCCTTGTCATCTATCAACAGGGAGTGCAGGTGAGGTATCGGGGGCATAGTGCTGTCTCGGTTGGTCACGCTGTCCAGGTACCTATAAATTCAGTTTTCATTTCAGACAGTATAACACCAGAGATTTACATGGCCTTCTGTTCTCAGACCTTCACATGTCTCTTTTCTGCAGCAAACATGCAGCCTAATGGCCTGAAATCCCCCCTGACCCCAAGTTCTTTATTGGGCTGCCTCAAGACATCTTTTATTTTCATCCTCTTGTCTTCCAAATACCACAGCACTTCTAAGTATTTGACAACTACCAAGTATATCAGCTCCCAAATGCCACAGTACCTCTAAGGCATATTTGACAACTACAAAGTTCACAGACCCACTGTCCCCAAACACAAACTAGTTTGGTCTCCATATTCACACTGATGCGGGCACTTCTCCATAGGTCATCTACATTATGTGAAAACATGCATACGTCCTTGTATTGCTCACCTGCCCAGGACTGTCATGGCCTCTCCATCATCTCTGCACTTGAGGAGGCTGTCAATGTTGGCCTCCAGCACAGACAGGGCCAGCTGGAAGATCACCTTGACGCCCTCGTAGAAGAAACAGTCAACGACCACCACGGCGCTCTCGAAGGGCATGACGCTGAGGAATAGTGTGAGGAACCAGGACAGCGAGATGGTAGAGATGACACCTAGGTTCTGCATGCAGTCGTATAGTTGGGGCACATGGTCCCTGGCCAGTTCCTCAAAAACACCCTGGTCCACCAGCGCACCTGGACACACACATGGACACAGACAGTGAGGGCCAGCAAGAGAAAAATACAGCAGCTTCTGACCAGTGCCCACTGGCTTCAGGTACCTTACTGAAGACCCTCTTTTAAGGTGTATCTCAGTTCCCAAGCCCCGGTGTGAGAAAGAGGACTAACCCACAACTCTGGTGTTGTAATAGTCAGGCAGCATCCGCTCACACAAGGCCACCAGCAGCCAGAAAGCCTCCTCCTCCTTAGCGTACAGCAGCAACACAGACGTGACAATGTTCATGGCCTGTCAAATAGGGAATGAACAGGAAAGAGGCAGAAGCAGCGGGCAAAATCTGATCAGGAAAGAGTTAATGACAAGAATGGAAAAATCAACCCAAAAGACAAGGTATTTGCTGCCTGGCTTCACCAGGAGCTGGCGTCACTCCACCTGGCAGTATCCAATGTCGGGGTTGCGGAAGGCGTAGGCGGTGAGCACTCTCCGGAGAGCGGAGATGCCGATTTCATTCTGGAAGGCGGGGTGTTCGGGCAGGGAGCGATGCAGGTCCCTCTCGATCTCCTCAGTGGCCAGGCTGCATTTCCCCATGGACTTCTCCACCAACTCCTCATAGTAGCCTGGGTGGGTGGTCATCTCATTGATGGCTCCTGTCCCAGTCAGACGCACAACTATAGTGAGTATATTCACATTTGCATTTTGTTTATTTATCAGACTCCAGATAACCAACCAACCAACCAACCAACCAACCAATCAAGACATTATTTAGCACACTCTGGATAAATACATTTATTTAGCAAATTTTTGGAGGATCATACATTCTTGTATGACTTGCTCAGTGGCCCAACGATGATATAACCCTGCCAAGCCCAGTATTTTAACCAGTGATCTTCTGATGACAAGCATCCTAACCTGCTGTGCCAGACAGCACTCCATACATTCCCGGCAGAAGTGCTGGGCGTGACGCAGTGCTGGCCTAACGTTATTTATTATTATTTAACTAAAACACATAATTGCTTTTTCGTTCGCTGGGTTGGTGGACACTGCCTTGCCATCCCTGGAGAAATGTAGAATTGCTAAGGTAAGACACACTGAATTTCAAACAAAACACATTATTGTTTTTCCTGAAGGACAGAAACTTGATACTGAAAAAGGATCCAATCTGCGTGACCTTCCTCCTACTTACCTCAGTCCCTCAGGAAGATGAGCCTAAAAATAAATGTCACTGCGTGTGATGTGCATAGCAACAACAGCTAGGAGACAAGAACACAATAACTGTTCACCACACCCCATGTGTCATAGGTGTATTGGGACATTACAGATATTAGTGTGCAAAAGTACCGCCGGAAGCAGACATGTGGGTCAGTACTTCCAGAAAGTCCACAAGCCAGACTGCTTGAATCAGTCCTCCTTCAAGCTCCATGATCAGCAGCCTGTAAGCTCCTACTTCACACACTGAAGCACTGGCATGTTTCTGGGCCTTCGGTGAGGCAGATGGGTGGCAAGGAGCCTCACCGGAGAAGAGGAGCCAGAGCTCGCCCCGCATGCTGTCAGGGATGCCTCTGAGTACTAGGTCCTTGGTCCTCTCCGTGCGGTACATGCACACCCCCTGGCCATACTCTGCAAAGTGGCTCCTCCAGTCTTTCTCCTTCAGGATCTCCTTAGCCTGGGAGGAGATGCAGAGCAGATGGCCCATTGTGAGGATCATAACAGCTTAAAATCAAAAGAGCTCCAGTTAAAATCACTTTGAAAGCGAGTCTCGTGATGTATAAACAGTTGAAACTATGCTCGGCCAGGTTCTCATTTCGGCAGTCGGCTAGAAAGGACATGAATGTCAACATTGTTATTGTTAGCTGATGATGTCAGAGACACTAAATTTACCTGAGGATTTAAAATTAACAAATGAACAAGCCCTCCCAGAAGAAAAAAGAACTGCGACTATATTGCTGTAAAAACGAAACCCAGGGTATGTGTACTAGAGGGCACCGTCTACCAGCTTTGGGTTGAACTCCTCTGGAGACTTCCGCCGGTACATTGTCATCAGGGCCTGGCTGGCGGTGGGGATGCTGTCATCGCTGAGGCTGAAGAGCCGCTCGCATTCTGGTTCAGAGCCGCAGGATGGCAAGCTGCTCTGGTGGGAGTAGGCCTGGGACGGGAGGGCGGTTACTGTCCTGGGAGCAACTGCAAGCTGCTCCGTGGAACTCCAACCCCATGTACAGCAAGTCCACTCTACATCACCATTTCTACAAGCTCCACACAGTCATAAGTAAAGCTGTACTTTCAGAACGTCTTCTAAAATATAGAAAAACTGCACCGTTCAAAGATATATGAGATTATCACATGACACCAGCCAACTGTATCATATCATTCACAGTGCGCAGCAAGCATCAAGTATCAGTTATCTGGGGCGAATGCTTCTAGATTTGAAGTGATAGGGAATTCAGAGGGAAGCAGAGGAATGGCCCAGTACCTCGTCATCTGATGAGCTGAAACTCCCCGTGATCTCTTCCTCAAAGTAAATCCCGGAGGTGGTCTGCTGCAGAAAGTCTGAGATCCTCTGGACTAGGAAGTCGCGGTCTTTGAGGTTAGCAAAAAGGAACGTCATCCTGTTCTTGGTGCTGATAGACAGAGGGCTGGGCAGGACGCTGGAGCTGTCTGCTTTCTCTACAACGGTCACCTGGAAGATGCCAAGGGACACTGAAGAGCTTGCAGAAAAGTGGACGGCGTTGGTGCTGGCTGAGGAAAGGATGTGCGGCATCAAAACAGGAGAGGATTAACCTCTAAGGTCAGAAAGCGATGGCCATTATGCTCCAACTGTGAACAATCCAGGACATAAAGCAGAAGCACAGTGGATATATTGTTGACACAAAGGTGATATTTCCTAAACTCGGGTGATATTTCTAAACACAAACGGTATCTCTTAACATGGGCAGTATCTCTTAAACAGAGGTGGTATCTCCTAAACACAAGCGAAATCTCCTGCAGTCTTGCGGTAATGCTTATCACGCCAGCCATGGTATCAGTGAGCCGGCTGAATCAATAAGTCGCAGTCATGAATTCTAGGAATTGGATGAGCAGCTGCCACTGAAGCCATTGGTTACGTGCTTATCAGCGCTCCGGTGCAGAGGGTGCTGCATTACCTGCCTGAGGAGTGCACTGCTTCACCCGAGCCGGCGTCTAACCCTAACCCTAACCCTAACCCTAACCTAACCACCTATCCAATGGACACCCTTTAGGTCATGACTCCGTATTCTTCACTACTTCACATCCCTCCCAGTGTTTCACTGGATCTCCTAAATGGACAAAATCATCCCTTCTGTGCACTGGAATCATAAAACCAACAAAAATCTACTTATTTCTATTCATTCAATTTCATTGGCCATGTGCACAACTGTATTTTAGCTATATGTTTCTAGGTCTTATATCCTTGTCTCATTGTGTCACGTTTTAATGTCATATGAATATTTTTATTGTTACGTGTCGTTTTTTTTTGTATTACGACCAAGATGGAATTTTCTTCTCTGTGTATGTCCCTTAACTTACTGTTAACAGGATGTCCCAACAGAATCCCACTGTAGTCTTGCTTAAAGCACTCATTTTAAAGAATGATTAGCATTGTTTGTACTGCGTGTAATTCTGACACTTTTCTATAAAGATCTGCCAAACCACACGACCCCTCCCACCGGGTCCATCAGCCGCTAACCTCTCTGAGTGGGATGATGAGGCTGCACAGGGTCTCCTCCTTGCTGGAAAAGCAGATATAGTTGGTGGAAACAAACATCTGGCCTAGGATGTGGGTCTTGTTGAAGGGGACCCAGAGAGTGCAGTCTGTGTGCCCATCCAGCTTCTCATTTTTGGGGAGCCTGAACAGGGCACGGTATCGCTCGCTCTTCGCCCTGGCATCCAAGTCCCTGAATCAAGACACAAACAATACCATCTATTTACATGTTTTCAACAAGCAGGAGGACGTCTGCTTCAACTAAACTTTACAAGGATCAACCAAAAGAAAGAAGTACTTCTACTCTTCAATTACATCTATAAGCTTACATCCATCCATTCAACCATTTTAAGTGAGACAGAGCCACAAAGGGTCTGCAGGATATCTGAGAAATTATAGGGAGCAAAGTGATGCATAGCTTGACAAGTTGTGGGAGGAGCTCAAGTGAACAAGGGAAGAACAGTAAAGCTCCACACACAACACTTGGGCTTAATATGAACTAACGGTTCTGGATAAGCAAAACAATACAATCAACAGAGCTATTCCACCAGGTGCAAACATCTAAAATGTTCAAGCAGAACATGGATAAACCATGAATAAAGGATGAGGACAATGAGAATTCTAAAAAAGACTTGCCTTTTGAGGGCAGAGACCTTTTTGGGGGTTTTGGTCCTCAGCTTAGGCAGCGAGAGGTCCTGCTCAAAGCTCTTGTTATCTAGCAGCTGCCTCATGGCTATGTTGGCCAGCTGCTCCATCAACTGGAAGGTCTCGCTGGTATTCAAAAAAATACTGAAGATGTGCTCCTCGGACCTGGTGCTTACTGAGATTACATCCGGTAAGAGCATGGTGGCACGTCTCTCCAGCTGAGTGACATCAGCCCATCGGATCACCAGCTTCACTGTGACAAGAACAGAGACCACACTACCTAAGAATGCAAGTGTCTGGAAAACACTCCAATGAAGGCCATGGCTTTTTCAGAATGAAGCCATGCAGTACAATGAAAAAGTAAAACGGCATCTGTTTCCATACCCTCCTTCCCCAGCAGGAGAGAGCAGAAGCAGACGTGGTTGATGCTGAGATACAGTCTTCCTTGTCTGGGCACTTTGCTCTTCCAGTAGCTGCAGGAGTAATAATTCACCAGCTTCTCTTCCTCTGGCATCCCGAACAGCTTGTGGAACTTGATGATGGCCTCCTTGAAGCTGTCCGTGTCGTCCTCCTTGACATCGGGACTCTTCGTATACTCAGCAATGATACCCTAGGCAGGACAGAGCACAACAGCAGTTCATGCTGAGATCCACAATGGTCAGAAATTACTGTACAGTAGCTCTGCTGGAACTACCCATTCCTTTAATTTAACCCCTTTTTTGACTGCATATGACAAAGCAACATTCAAAAGTCAGATACATTCATTCTTTTCTATCTAGCTCATGGTAATTTATTAACTGATTCATTGATTATATTTATCATTCACCACACTAATGCATTAAATGCAAGGGCTGATTCAATAAAACAACTACCAAAATAATCACAGCAGTGTGCCTGCATTGACTTGACCGATCAAACAAAAGCACTATTTCCCCTTAAGATTCACTTATTCTGGGAAACTCAAAGTGCCTACCAGCTTCATATATTCCCTTATTTCCACACTCAGATATCTTCTGGCACAAATAAGGTCAACAGGTCAATACCTCACAATCATAATGTGTGAGTGCAACCCAGGCGTTATATACGAGGCACACAACATGTAGACATTTTTCGATAAATGCAAGAGCTTGGGTGGGAGTTTAACAATCAGTGACTTTTAAACCTCTTTTGGTCGTCAAATAGCAGCCTGGAATGCCAAATAAGGGCCACTATCACCATTGATCAGACAGTAAAAGCACGAAAAGCACATCTGCTTCATTCCACAGCCACAAGAATGTTCCTCCACCAAGGCTCACCTGAATCTTGCCCCTGACGAACGTGGTGATGTCGTTTTCGTTCTCGAAGACAGAGAGCGTCTGCAGGAGGTTGTGCTCCAACCAATCCCAGTGTGCCGTGATCTCCCTGTGGGAAGCTCCTGCAGGGGGGTTGGGGGGGACATGGGAACTGAGGGCAGGCTTACGGTCTACAGCACCCCCCCGCTCATCCTAAACCAGCAGCAGAAGCTGTGCCTATAAATAAGCACTTTCTGCAGGATGACAATGTCACAATATCAACCAGCGACACAAAGCCGCTCTCTATGGCTGTCTGCAATAAAAAGCAAAGCATCTCATGTGGACTTTAACACGCATGAGATCGGTAAAGCAGCCTCGGCCCAGCGATCTGTGCTGCTTCTTAACCTCGGGCCTACAGCTCACCAGAGCAGGTGCAGTGAACGTCAGTGGCTGATACATGTAACCGTGACGGACAGACAAGTGGTAACAAACCCTAACCCTAAACCTAACCCTAACCCTAACCCTAACCATGCTGCTGTCCTGACTTTCTCTGGCCAAAGCGTTGCCCAGCCAGAATGAAACAGGTTTACCCCCCAGTAACTAGTGACCTAATGAATTCTAATGTCTAATGACTGACCCTGTTTATGGTCCTCAGAGAGAAATCCCTCAACGAGTCAGAGCAGTAGGTAACAGAGAAAAGAAAAAAAAACCTGACATCTTACATTACACTCAGATGGACTGCAGGTGAAAAACACAGAAGGGCTGCCCGCAGTCTACAGCAATTAGAAATACTGCTAAATACAAGATTCATGAGGAGCTCGTTAGTGGCAGCGAGGACAGGGGGTTTTCCCAGCCACCCACCGTGGGCTACGGTCCAGCAAACCACCGAATCCGGAGACTGGTAGAGGATTCTGTAGGGAACTACACGAGCAGGGGAGTCCAGAACAACGTCGAGGGTCCCAACCAGCAGGCCTGGGGAGGGAGGGAAAAAGGGAAGGAGGAGAAGGAGAGAGGAGGGAGGAGAAGGTTAGGTGGCCATTTCAAAGCCCATGCTCGGTAAACATGTTTTAGCATATTAGCATGTTCTGTATGTTGTTACTGACGGGTTTATTCAGTGAGGTGAAAACATGCTGCTGAAGCTAATAATGTGTTTAGCTTGATGAATCAACACAGTGTTGCAGCCTGCAGACACGCAGGAGAACCAGGCTGCGAATGGAATGCAGACACCTAGGAGAACTGGGCCGCGATCGAAGCGCATACATTCAGGAGAACCTGGCAGCTATCAGACATCCAGCTTCTCCTCACCCTCTGAGGTGTGCTAAACGTGATCATCCATGCCCCTCCGCTTCTTCTCACCCTGCGAGGTGTCTAAATGTGCTTCTCTATGCTTCTCCTCACCCTCTGAGGTGTGCTAAATATGTTCCTCCATGCCTCTCCTCTTCTCCTCACCTTCTGAGGTGTGCCAAACATGTTCCTCCATGCCTCACCATTTCTCCTCACCCTCTGAGGTGTGCCAAACATTTTCCTGCATGCCTCTCCCCTTCTCCTCACCCCCTGGGGTGTGCTAAACATGTTCCTCCATGCCTCACCATTTCTCCTCACCCTCTGAGGTGTGCCAAACATTTTCCTGCATGCCTCTCCTCTTCTCCTCACCCTCTGAGGTGTGCTAAACATTTTCCTTCATTCCTCACCCCTTCTCCTCGCCCCCTGGGGTGTGCTAAACATGTTCCTCCATGCCTCTCCTCTTCTCCTCACCCTCTGAGGTGTGCTAAACGTGATCATCCATGCCCCTCCGCTTCTTCTCACCCTGCATGGTGTCTAAACGTGCTTGTCTATGCTTCTCCTCACCTTCTGAGGTGTGCCAAACATGTTCCTCCATGCCTCACCATTTCTCCTCACCCTCTGAGGTGTGCCAAACATTTTCCTGCATACCTCTCCTCTTCTCCTCACCCTCTGAGGTGTGCTAAACATTTTCCTCCATGCCTCTCCCCTTCTCCTTACCCTCTCAGGTGAGCTAAACATGTTCCTCCATGCCTCTCCCCTTCTCCTCACCATCTGAGGTGTACTAAACATGTTCCTCCATGCCTCTCCTCTTCTCCTCACCCTCTGAGGTGTGCTAAACATGTTCCTCCATGCCTCTCCCCTTCTCCTCACCATCTGAGGTGTACTAAACATGTTCCTCCATGCCGCTCCGCTTCTCCTTAACCTCTGAGGTGTACTAAACGTGTTCCTCCAAGCCTCTCTGCTTCTCCTCCCCCTGCGAAGTGTACTAAACGTTTTCCTCCATGCCTCTCGGTTTCTCCTACCCTGCAACCATGCCCACATCAGCCAATCAGACCCCCCCAGTTCCAGAATTTATCCACCCACCAGTTTCATTAGATGGAAAACCATGGTATTTGACACTGCTGCTTCCCTTCAATGCGGTCTTACAAGCATAAGTGTACAGGCCTGGGGGAAAACTCTGAAAGTTCCCCACCCACTTATCCATCATCCAGTACAGGGTCACAGTAATGCTGGAAGCACAGGGCAAAGGTCAAGGATTGGATGCTCAGCCCTGGCAAGACAGAGTGAGCCATGCCAGGAGCCATCAGAGAGACCAGCTGACCTATTAGAGCGCGCTGTGTGGGAGAAAGCTGCTGTACCTCAAAGCAAAGCTGTGAATACAGTCAGGACACCCCGAGAGTGTGGCGCTATTCAGTCCCCCATACCCTGCAGGTGTGAGGTAACAGGGACATTATTTCAGGCAGGCAAGAAGAACACAAAAGGAAATACCGCCTTCACAAGCATTACGAAACAGTGCACTTCTGTATTTTCAGTGCCAAATAAGAACTGATATCACAGCCTTCACCAACATGTCCTCTGCGGCTGTGCTGTCTAGCCGTACAAGACCGAGGACACGACTTCAGCGTGTGACTGTCACCTCACACAGAGCGCAGTGTGTGGCAAACACCGAGACCCACATGTTTACCAATACAGAATTCCTCATGGGTAAAGATTAGGAGCTTGATGTTGTCTAATTTTAAAGCCACTTTCATTTAAAAAAGAAGAGACTGAAACATACCAAAGAGGAAGAGAGCAAGCCTAAGGGGGGAAATGAAACTGGTTTTGTTTGTGTCGCACCCAACCTTAAGTCATTAGAGACCGTGCTGGTGAAAAGGCAGGGCTTAAACGGTGAGACCTTAATGCATCTGTGCTGATTTGGGCGAAACATAGATTTGTTTTGCAGCTGATAAGACTTCTAAGATCATACTGCACCCTTCAGTCATACTACTGACCTACAGGAAAGAAAAGTAGGGGATAATATGTTTCACATTTGCTTTGGTACCTACTCCTCAAATCTGTATTCAGTTCTGCATTGCAGCTTGGATATACTGAATAACAGCTTCACAAGATGCATTTTGAAACAGCACAGAAATAATAAATACTGTAATGTCCATGAGAAGTTCAATCTCGGGGTTTCTTCTGTTTTTACCAAAGAATAAAAGCACTTTGGAGGGATGGGCACACCATGAGCCAAGGTGGCCTGGCACACACATGCACGCGCACACACACAGCGCTGACATCATAGCCAACAGCCATTAAGCTTCCTCGCTCAGCCCGGGCAGCAGAACCCCGACCGGGGTATAAGACCCGAACTGGTGCATCTGCCAGGGTTCGAGACCATTCAGTGATGTGCAGATAAAGCAAAAGCCGTCTTCTGGCGGCCTGGTGTAGATACAGGTGGCATCTTTGGCGTCTCCAGAAACTAATAATACGGATGAAATTTATGTCCTGAGAAAAATCCGGAATTTGTCAGAAGATCAAAGCTAATATCAAATCTACGGAGAACAAACTAGTGATTAATGTTTAAAATCCAAAGCCTCTCGGGGAATGCCTGAATTCATGAATTAGCGTAGAAGTGATTCATATAAATACAAAAAAAACCCGTAACACCGCAAATATCAGCATCGCGGCGATGCGTCGACGTAAAAGATGCTGTTATTCAAATGACAATGGATTACCATTGCGATTTCTGTGTGTTGGTTACATGTTCCTGCACGTTTTTGCGTAAACTTGATCACACATTTGACTAAAAATTCTAAATGTTGATGTTCTGCTTCTGTCCTGCTGTTTGGAAGTCACGAGCAGATGCAGCGCGCGACGTGACCACGCGCGGCTGCCAGTACACGCACGCGCCGGGGAGCGGGTTCCCGTTGCCTTTCGGTCCTCCTCCGCACGGTTCAGAAAGGACACTCGGTTTTACCTTAACAATTTTCTAAATAAACTTTCCGTATAACTCACATTATAAGTCTAATTTACAAAACAGGCTCCAATGTAAATGTTTCTGGTGGATATCCATTCTTTAAGTCGGTAGCCTAAAGACTTATCTAATGAAGACTAATTTACATTTCGTCGAGGATTTGTATAGCCAGATAACTTAGTCAACAGAACTATATTGCAGCTTTTGTCATTTTTATGCCAACCACAAACAAATATTCAATTAAATAAATTTGCATCTACGCTTGTATTCCGCGATTGCGGTAGACATCTGGGTATATACAGTGGATAATAAGTATAGGCTATCAGATTAATGACGCTAATGTTGCATGATTTGAATGGAAAATGGACACAAACCAGCGAGTATCCAGCCATCCTGTACCTGCAAGACCGCCGCCTCCGCGCCCCTTCCTCCGCTGCAGAATGAAATAGGGGTTCGCCCTCTCCGTAGTCCACAGGGCTCCGGCCATCAGCACCTCCTCCAGCTCGACCCACATCTCCTCAGGGGCGTCAGGAGGACAGCATTCAGCCGTAAATCAGAGTCCACCCCCGGCTGTAGCGCGGTCCGGAGCGGCAGCGGTTGTGTAAAAGCAGATCAGGACCGTCCGGCCGGCGCGTATCGCACATGCAGAAAACACGCCTGCACCTCACAAAATTACATAATAACAAACATTTCCTCTGATCAGCCTACTTAATAGCATCTATTTTAAGGTCTTTAAATAATGATCGTTTAGCACCAGCGTAATACGCCGCATTTAATGCATGATTTTGACTCTGTTTTATCTCCGACCCCCAATATCAAATCTCCTAAAACGAAATATGTTGAGGTGGTGAGCGAGCAGCATTAAACGCTCCTTCTTTATACGCAGAGGATGCGGAGAGCCCGGTGCTTTTTCCGCCCACGGAGGCTGTCAGGTGAGATCGGAGCCGCTATGTCCACCATAATAAACGCATAAGAACAAATACGGCGGATGGGGAGGCCGTGGAGCCCTGTACCGGAGGAGGAAGGACGGACTTCTGACGTCAGCCTAGGGAGAGGTGCGCTGCTGGGGGCAGCTGTGCTTCTGGGATTCATGGACACAGTCCCTCTAACCGGTGTGCTACTACTGAATGATAAACAAATAATACGATGTTAACAAAGAAGTAGAATGACAATACAGAATGAGACCTGTAGAATATACACCCAGTGCTTGAAATGGACCAGTACTCACCAGTACTCACCAGTATGCAGTACCAGCACCTCTTTACTTTTCTCTTTATAGTACTGGCACCTCTCAATATCTGCTAATACTGAATAACAAGGGGAGTACTGGGACCTGGTACTGAACAGGGACCCACTTTTCCCTCCAGTGCTTCAGAAATGGACACCCCAGAAGGAATGCTCGAACCAGCATGTCTAGCACATTGAAAATGGCTTTGATCAGACGTTTTAACCGAACTGTAATGGACCTCTGGTCTCTGTATGAAGCCAAAGTGGTCGCTTGTTTGGGGGAGCAGCCGCTAGTGATGATTAGTATAGGCGTACCTGATCAACCTCAGAACCTGTACATATAGATTTAGGGAAAACGGGAGCAATTTACCAAGCCTCATGTCGCCCTCTGGTGAACATTCAGCCACTCAACAGTAAAATGTTTGTTTAATGTCCCATGACTTTTCCTCTCAGTACTTATGTGCCCTTTTCACTTATTTCTCTTTACGCGCATGTCCTCTGGAGTCAGGCAACATTGCATTTCACTACACATTGTTTCGAGTGTAATTATGTATGTGACAAACATAACATTGGAACCGAATTGTTCTTTTCAAATAGATAGAATTTCATTCTTGTAACAAAGGGTCACTTTAGCTTGTTGTGGAATAAACTTATTCGCTTCCATTGTTGTGCGTCACTCCATCGCAGATATACATATTTCTAGATCAAGAATGATAAAAGAATATTCGCTTTCTAAATTCATAATTCTCGGTAATCCAAAATTCCCCCAGTTCTGTGGAAAGCGAAGGAGGATGTTCTTCAATAAACTAGAAAACGAATCACTGGGAAGAACCACAACAAAGGGAAGAGCGGTGATTTATTTTATTTTTTTTAACTGGTAAGTATTGATACGGAAATTTTGCGGGCTATGAGGCAAAAAACCGAAAGATCGAAAGGTGAAACCAAAATGCGACGCTCACCGCATCTGAAAATGTGAACTACAGACATACTTTGGGTAGCAAAGACTGCAGGCTCACGGCTCACCGACCTTCGGCGCCAAATATCACCCGTTTAATCGTAATGTTCCGTTTTGCACACTTTTTGTACACTGCAGACCAGTACCGGACCATTTTATCCTTTAGTTAAACATCACTACACTATTCCAATAACTGCAGTCTTAGCATGATGTAAGTGAGCTTTGCTGTCGCTATATCCTTAAAACACCGGGGAAAAACGTCCATGTAACGATGAAGTAACTCCATTCTTAGGATGACTCCATGTGGTATGACTGTAGTGTATCATTTATATTTTCTCGTAAAACCAAAAACGGTAAATCTCAGTGGGCACCTCCTCGGTGACGTGTGAGGTTGATGTCCGCTTTCCGTTCCTCTTCTGACATGATCTCCGAAGTCCCCCTTTACTTTTCATTTTGTCACACCTCACCACTCGTATTACCTCAGAGACTTTTTACATATGAAAGAATGACATGCACGTTCTCGTGCCCGAGTTGGTTGTTGTTGTTAATAATAATAATAATAATAATAATAATAATAATAATAATAATTTAATGCAAAGGCACATTGGAACGGTTCACCCCACCAGGGACTTGAACCCTGGACCCTCAGATTAAAAGTCTGATACTTTACTGACTGAGCATAGCAGACTTAACATTAATAAATGAATCTTCTATAAAGTCACAATACTGATAAATCCTTTCTATCTATCTGGGTGAAAAGCACACAGTTTCATTGTACAATGACAAAGACATTTTATTGTATTTGGAACTCATGGTTAGACTTGCTCAATTTCCATGAGAGGTAGTACAACCCAAAACCATCAAAATAATGCACCATGACAAAACTATGTTTTTTTTAATATTGTGGGCCTATATATAAACTTGATGCCAAGGACCAAAGTTATACTGGTGTTCAAGCAGAGTCACGTTGCATCAGAAATGTGGTACTGCCACCAAACTTTCAAGCTGTGTTAATATTACTACTAATCACAAATGCAGTAAAGCAGAAATCGATTGGAATTTCACATGCATTGCAGACACAAACGGTTACTTTATGAAGGTTTTCATTTAGGAGAAATAACTGTAAAACATTGTACCATCTGACATTTTTTTTATATGGTGAATATAAACAAAAAAAAAATCCACATATCCTTTACACTTACCTAACAAATGACTGCAATAAAAGATGATGTGGCAGTCAGCTAATCTGCCATTGGGCTGTGTAATGACTGCCTGTGGAGATGCTGAGAGCAGCTCATGCTCCCGCCTGATAAAACACACAGAACCAGCAATCGAAACCCTGGCATCAGATTTATTTGGATCCACAGCCGCAGCCTGGGAGGCGACAACATCCAGTGAGAGATGTGCACAATCACACATTTACACATTCCTCTGGGTGACATAAAGAGTAAGGGGAGGGGGTATGTATAGTAACGGTGCAGCCCCCGCCCTCTCCGAGACACAGCTCACTGTGCTAAGCTGAACATAACATGGAAAAGGCTTATTATGAACCAAAATTATTTCAAAATCTTTAATGCTTTACAAAATGAGGACTAAATAATGTGGAAATCACAGTTAGAGAGATAGGCAGAGTTGAGCAACTCGACCTGCTAAACTGTTTATACCCCAAGTCCGTTAACCGGTGTCCATGCCATCGGATGAGTCTGGTTTGTTTGGCTGTACTTAGATTTGTCTCGTCAGGGACATACTCCACACAGGGGGGGGGGGTGAGTTACAGACTCACCTCAGCAAACACCACCCAGATGTCACCTGACAGTGGCACTCAGGGGCCAGACTTTGTGTCTCAAATTTACCACGGACCACCAAGGTCATAAACGGTGGGAACTAGGACTCAGGAAAGGAGATGTGTATGAATGTGAAACGGCCATCCAAATGCATCTCTCGGTCTCACATAAGAAACCAGCTTTGTTATTGGGCAGGTCAGAGTGAAGAATGGTAAAAATGGTAAACGTATTGCATTTATATAGCACATTTTTGCTACTCTTTAGAGCACTGAAAGCACTTTACAGTTATGGCTGACATTCACCCATTCATACAAGCATTCATACACCAGTGGCGGAGGCTGCCATGCAAGGCACCAACCAGCTCACCGGGGACAATTTGGGGTTCAGTGCTCAAGGACACTTTGATGGGGTCAAGAGGACCCAGGGCTCGAACCTGCAACCCTCCGGTTGCCGAACGGTAGCACTACCTCCTGCACCACCATCGCCCCGTGCGAATGAATGTGGAGGGATCTTCTTTAACTGTCTCTATGCTGAAGTATCTTTGGTTATGTACAGACACACTGGGGATATGAACCGAGTCACCATCGTCACGCTCCGGAGAGAGAGTGCTCGCACGCAAAACATCCCCGGCTAGATACAAATATTCCTCTTCTTTAGAAAAATAAAACATTTACACTAGCAAAATAAAGGTCATCTAACGCACTCCTGGTGGGCAAGAATGTGACCGACGTTGGAGTCTTTAAAACTGCTGCACCTCAGAGAGATATCGAGGGAGCGAGCCCCTGGAAGAGGTCAGCATTAAAAATGCACCTCCCTTTGTTTGGGGAGCGCAAACCGTTGTGATTACAAGGAGGCGTGTCTTAATACTGAGTGTCGGCGTGCAAAACCCACATCCAAGGTGGCGTGGTGGGACATTCCAGTGGACGACGACAGAATCACCGGAAATCATCTCACAGGTCTTTATAGGGACATTAGTACATGATCTTACAGACCCCAAAAGTATATACAAACACCACGTGGCAAGAATTTTTTTTTTTAAATCACTTAAAAGCACCTTGTCCAAAACACGGGACATTTCTAGTAACCAGTAAGGCTCTTCTGTAGGTCAGATGACTGTGATTTCCATTTTGACCAACACTTGCCACAGCTTCTCCTCCCTGAACTCCTGCTCTCTCAGCCACTGCCAGACTGGATCACACCCTCCTGGGACCAGGTCGGGTCGGGTCGGGTCAGGCAGAGCCAGACTGGAGCCATAAAGACCCATGAAGTCATGTCCCAGTGTGATAAGTAAAGGTTGTGCTTTCAGTGTGTAAAAAACAGAAAAAGAGAAGAGGGTAGAGAGTGGGATCGAAACAAATAAACTATGATGGGGGGGTAGAGAAGGGGGTCCAGCGCTCAGAGCCAAAATAAGCGTAACGAATGTTTCTCTGGTGGTGCAGTCTGGGACAGGAACCTGACATGGAGCAGCATGTACATCATCTGGGGATGAGGGGCTGGACAGCCAGCACCAACCCAAACCCCCTGCTGGGGGGGTCTGGGTTGGGGGGAGGGGGCAGAGTTCCAGACTCTGCGGGGGGTGGGGGCTAGGGATTCCGGGTTCGGAGGAGGCAGGGGGTAGACAGGCATACTCCGTATCCGTAGGGGGCCAGTTTCCAGTACTCTGCAGGATGAGTCGGGGGG